AGTAGCAGAATATTTGGGAAATAATATTGTTCCAGAAAGAGCCTATGGAGAATTAAAGCTCATGAAATATCATTCAGCTCTTAAGAAATGTTTACTGAGCATCTACTCAGTGCCAGGCACTAATACTGGCCCAGAAGGTAGAGAAGTGAACAAAACACAAGAATTCCTTCCCATGAACATATGCTAGTGAGGGAAGATAACCAACAAACAAGATCAGTAATTCTACATCATATAAGAAAGTGACAAATCCACTGGAAAAAAATAAGGAAGAGTGAGAGGAAGGGTTGGAAAAAAACAAGGACAGGGTGACAGAGGAGGCTGTTAGAATTCTAACATAAGCCACAGTGACCCCGCATCCTTATACAATTCCATGCACTCTGTGGTGGGCATCTGTAACTTTCTTCTAACCAACAGATTGGCAAAGGTAACAGGATTTTACTCCCATGATTATGTTCTGTTGTACAGCAAAAATGAAGAGATTTTTCACATGTCAGTAAGGTCCCTAATCAGTGGACTTCAAGAGCACCACAAGGAGGAGCCTGACTGAATCAGGGAAGCCCATCAAAAGAGTCAGACTCTCTCCTGCTGGCCTTCAAGAAGTAAGTGGCCATGAGTTGTGCAGCTTCGAGGAAACAAGTTCTGCAACAAGGGAACCCCCAAGCCTTAGTTGAGACCCTAGATGTGTCTGACACCTTTTCTGCTCCTATGAGCAGAGGGCCCAAATATGCTATGTATGACAAAGCTCCTCACCTGTAGAAACTGTGAGATAGTAAATGTGTTTTGTATTGTTTTAAGCTGCTACAGTAAATTGGTGATCATTTGTTTCAAACAGTGGAAAATTAATACAGTGGTGGATAAACTTTCTAGTCAAAAGGAAAAGAAAATGACAGCTCTGAGCAGGAGTATGTCAAATGGAGCCATGCAGTAAATTGAATCAGGAAGTAAAGCCATGGGTGACTGGGGCAGATCATGTATGGCATGGCCTTGTTGGCCTCAGTCATATGGGGCCACTGGGGCCTTCTGATACTGTATCTCAGTGGATCACTTTGACTGAGATATTGAGACAAGAAGGAGACAAGGTAGAAGCAAGGAGGAAGACTAGCTAGGAGACAGTAATTTGAGGAAGGGATGACGGAGGCTAGAACTAGTGAAAAAGGAGTCAAGGAAGAGAGAAGTAACCAGGCACTGTACACAGAATGAGTTAACAGGATTCATTTCACCAGGACTGAAAGTTGAGGTACTCCTATCTGGAAAGGACAGTCTCACCAAAATCCTTTCCCATTACTGTAATCCACATGGTCCCGCTATTATTCCTCCCTTCCTTTTCTGATATTTATATTATCCTGTTCTTTTATTTAGATAGCATCTTATTCTTCAACCTGGTTCCAGTAATGGAATGCAGCAACCTCTCTCTTTTACAAACCATGATCTAACAGCTCACAAAGGTGGGGGGGCAGCCTTGCTAAAACCCACATTGTCTTTTGACTCCTTTTCCCATCACAGGAGCTGCATAACAGACCACTCCACCCAGTCTTGTTACTCACATGGCCCAGGAAATACCTGACATCATTCATACAAATGTGGCCAGATGAAGCTTTGAATAGAGAATATTTTTCTGCTTCCTGAGTACCTCTAGAAAGACTGGAAACCAACAGGAAAGCATGAAAAGGCTCGACAGTAGCAAGAAGAAGTCTTGGCTATGATATGGAACTAAGGGAACATTTCGATACTCTTACTAAAATTTTATACAAATCAGCTTTACCATATGAAATGCTAAACCAGGAATGCTGGTGCATCCCTGTAATTCCAGCACGCAGGAGGCTGAAGCAGGAGGATGGCTACAAGTTAAAGGTCAGCCTGGGCTACATAGTGAGTTCAAGGCCATTGTGGGCTGCATAGCAAGACCCCGTCTCAAAAAAAAAATTCTTTTAACATATGAAATGATAAAAACTACTAAAGCTTCACAAAAGAATCTCATGAGAACTAAAAAACAGAAATAAAGATCCAATGAGTCACCCTACTTCTTCCACATAACACCCAAAGACTAACAGTAGAATGACATTAACCAGCCAATGCCATGATAAGAATCACAGCGACAAGGTCATCAGAAAAGCCTATGGTGAGTACTAGCCAGAAGTCAACAGGGAGATTTACTAATCGGCCCTGGGGCCAAAGACCTTTTCTCAAAATGTCAGCTGGAAGTTTGGGGAGAACCCACTCTATTCCACTGACTGCACTACTACAAATTGGCCACAAGGGGGCACCAGCACACTCCACACACAAATGGAATTCTTGTATTCTTCCTAATCTGACATATGGAGGGGCACTGTTCCCTCTCCCGCAGAGAGTAGCAGGAATACTGTAGTTAATGAAGGCATACAACCAGCCAAATAATATAAAACTGAAAATTTTACAAGTAACATGCAATTTGCAGTCTGTTCCTCCAAAGCGCCTTTTAAAAGTACACCCCTAGGGTCTCCAGTCTCCAGCCTCCTGCTCTTTTTCTCTCTCTTGTTTCTGGTCCCCTCCTCCACCAATAACTCTTGGCTACATAGCTGGGCTTGCTCTCTTTACAGAGTTCAAGTCCTACATTTTTAAGTACTGCAATCATCATTTCAAACATTTCCATAAAGCAAATTCATCCTTCCTAACAGACCAACTGTCCCTCTAAACATTCTGATTTCTCTCAATAATAATAAACACTAACATTATCTGGCATATGCCAGTCTTCATATGGAGTGAGTTGTTTAATACTTAAAATAACAAGAAGGTTTGGTATCTTGTTCAAATCCACATAGCTCAAGAAATGTCAGAGCTGGAATTTGAATCCAGAGAGTCTGGCTCCAGACCCAGGCTCTGAACCAATATTGCGCTGCAATATTATCATATTGAGTATTTCTCTTTGAAGGAACATAAATGTATATGTAATTATATGAATATATATGTATATGTAATTATAGTCCCAGTTTCCTATAAGTAACCACATGTCTTTATTGTTTTTATTGATGATACAGTTAAAGCCTGGAGATTAAAGACTTCAGCTAAACAGTAAGGCATATGAAAAGGACCAGGCCTCCTATCTCTAGCACTTCCCACAGTTCAGTGCATATCTGTAGTCAATGCATACTTTTGGTTAGAATTAGCTAAAGTCACTTTCAAATCACTATTGTGATTTGATAAAAGTATAGTAATGCAGAACTGGTGGAAGAAGCTGCTATTTTGAAAATAATGAGCAGAGTAATCTTATTTCAAAGTCAAAATAAATATAAGAAAAAAGAAAGAAAATAATCATAAAAGTGTTTTAAATGGAAAGGTCTTAAAAATCTCTACTTAAAAAAAAAAATCTCTACTCAAAAAGCAGGGTAGCTATAGGGTGAAACAGAACAAAGCCAGGAGATGGAAGGATAGCAAGAAAGTATTTGTGGGATCATGGAAGATGTCTGAGCTATGCATACCCCACTCAGACACTACTGTACTGCAACTAGGCCTTGTTTTCATAACATCTTATTTAATTTCCTTTGTTCTATTAAAAGCCAGAACTACCACCCAAAAAGTTTAGGTCTTAAACAGTTCCTATGGAACAGTGAAGAAAGGTAATTATGAACTTGGCCAAGTATGTTTGTTCCATTTATACAAAGCTGAAAGCAGAATCTTTCTGATGAGTTACCTCTGATTAAAAGTATGCTTTCTCTTGATATAGTTTTTCATTTCATGTGATAAGCCATTATTTAATGAGTGCCGAACAAGTAAATGTTAGGAATGTAAATGTGAGCTAGGAAAATATGGGCATGTGCTCAACTTTCACGCAAGTAATAAGGGAAGTAAAGCATGCAAAAAAAGAAAATTGGGGAGAAGGGTGCTCTAACGCAGGCTTTGATTAGTCACAGGTTTCCTAACTACTATCTAGGCTGTGACCTAAAGGACAATTACAAGTTAGCTAAGAAACTATGGGAGACACTGTTCCAGCCAGGGGCATATGCAATGCCTGGGAGTGGAGAACATGGGCTCTTTCAGGGGGTAGAAGGGATAACAGCATTAGGGAAGATGTGTGGAAGTCTACATTTTCACAGACAGTTGTTGAAAGTATAAATTTATACAAATTCTACATTGAAATAGGAACATGGACAAGGGCATTACAGGTAGATCTTCTGAATCAGTAATTTCATTTCTAGAAATTTATCTTATGGAAAGATTTAGGTTATGGGCCAGGGATTTAGCTCAGTGGTTTCGCCACCTGCAGCACAAGCACAAGGACCCAAGTTCAAGCCCCAGTACCAAAAAAAAAAAAAAAAAAAAATTCAGGCTACACAGAATTCACTAGAGAAAAATAAACATGTTACCACTTATAAAATCAAAATGTTGAAAATACCTAAGTACTCATCTATTAAGAACTCATTAAATACTTTACAATACAACCATGTTTCAGAATACTTCATAATTGTTACAAGTTGTGTTGAAGATTAATATTGATTGACATGAAAATATACTCACATTGTGAATGACATTATGACATTATGATATTATGACATTAGGACATTGTGAATGACATTATGACATTAAGAGCAAAAACAAGGGCTGGGGATGTAGCTCAGGGTCACTGCACCTGCCTTGCAAGTGCAAGGTCCTGAGTTCAATCCCCAATAGCACAAAAAGAAAGAGCAAAACTAAGATATGGTATAGTATTATGCTATGGATCCTATTATAATTATATATGAGCAGAAAGGTCTGTTTATTTCTAGATTGTAGAATCCATAATGGTTTTAGCTTTCTTTTTAATTTTGGCTTATCTTTTTAATATTTCTCAGTGAACCTGTAATGCTTTGTAAGAATAAATATTAATTTCTTATTAATTTTTTTAAAAGATTTGTCTCATTATTTTAACTCACATGAATTAAGCCTTACATTAAATTCTATGCAAGCATGCTGTGGGGCAAAAGCAGGAAAAATAAATAGTGTATCTCATACCAGTGCCCATACACCTTCTTCCTCTCAACACATACCTGGACAAATCCAAAGGGAAAGAAACGCTCTGTCTGTCCCTGGGAGCCACAGTGGAAGGTCTGACGCCAGTCTTCAATGAGGGCAGGGAACGTGCAATTGTACAGGTCCTTATTGTAATGTATATTGGCTTCCCCTTAAAACAGCCAATATTGTAAAATAAATTTGGAGTAGACTTCAAAAGTGGCACATGTTGCTCTCCTCCCTCTCTCCACATCCTGAGGGGGTGGCCTTCCCACAGCTGCTTAGGACTGGCCTGGGATTTGATCTGACCAGTGAGGCACCCGCCAACATGACATAAGCAGAAGCATAAAGTATCAGCTTCGGGCTTAGCTCTCTCTTGATACACCTGGAACCCTGAGACAATTATGTCATGATAAATGAGTGTGACGCCGCTTGCTAAAGGAAGAGAGGCCACCTAAGAACCATGGAGCACATGGATTGGAGGGAGCCATCCTATGTCCTCCAACCACCAACCTGACAGGTCAGAGACACATAAGAGTTCCCAACAGAAATCAGCCGAAGCAGCCCAGACAGAAGAACTACCTTGATAGACCAAAGGAGAATGAGCTAAATAAAATTATACAATTATTTTTAAGCCACTAATTTCAAGGATCATTTATTATGCAGCAAAAGCTAACTGATACAATGGATAAAGAGCAAACTGAACACTCACCCTGGTACCATACCACACCTTTCAGAGTCATATTCTGTAGTGGATGGATCATGGCATTCCAGAGAACAGAGTGCTCGCTGGGACCGGATATAGAATCATACAGAACAGACCTGAAATCAGTAAGATACACAGGGTCACCAAAAAGCTAGTGAGTGATCACATCAGGATTCCTATGCTGAACATCTATCTGCTTTCACTTGGAAAAACTTCTGATGAAAACAACACAGAAGTAAATGGATCAGCTCCATTTCACTTGAAAACATGTATTAGTCTAAATTTCACTTCCAAGTTTTTCCCACAGTAAGTGTGTCACTCATCCTTCTGTGAATTTAGAGTGGGAGAAGTGATTTATTATCAGTTTTTTATACAGGCAATAACTACTATTCAAGAGATGGATACTTAGATTGATTTCAGATTTTTGCCTGTTTTTGTTTTTTGTTTTGTTTTGTTTTGTTTGTACTGGGGATTGAATCCAGGGCCTTCACACTGAGCTACAGCCTCATCTCTTTGTTTATTATCTTTTGCTACCAGGGATGGATCTCAGGACCTTGTGCTTTTGAGGCAGGTGGCAGCAACACTGAGCTAAATCCCCGGCCCTTTTATTTTCTATTTTGAGACAGGGTCTTGCTAAGCTGCCTAGGCTGGGCTCAAGTCTGCAATCCTCCTGCTTCAGCCTCCCAGAGTGCTGGGATTATAGACCTGTGCCACAGCTCCCAGCTACCTTTTTGCTTTTATAACCAATGCTATGATTATAGCTAAATCACTGCAATTATTTCCTTAATTTCCTCAATTATTTCCTTAAGATAAATTCCAGGAAATAAAATTACTGAGTTAAAAAGTACATTTTTTTAAAAGCTTTGGATGTGTTCCCAAATTTCTCAGTAGAACACATATATTGAAACTTATCCTCCCAGCAGCTGTGTATGAGAATACCCACTTCCCCATGCCCGTGGTCTATCTCCCCCAACCCCCACGTCTGGGAGACCTGGCTCCAGACTACCCACCAGCACCATGTCCTGGATCTGATGCTCCCTCCTGCTCTACCAGAACCCACTCCTCCTGTCCATACTTATGGTCCACTCTCCCACAGGCATGCCATTACTCAAACTGTCCCAACCATACCAGAGCAGAGTCCATCCTCCTCCCAGCGTGACTGTGACAATGTCTAGGATAGTGGGCCATATTCTGCTCATCTCTATATTGGTTGATGCTGTCAGGATTTTTTTTGGTAATACTGGGGACTGTAACTAGGGATTTTTTACCAACTACAGTGTTACCTCGGTTCATGAACACTTTTTTTTTTTTTGGTACTGGGGATCGAACTCGGGACCTTGCACTTACGAGGCAGGTGGTGGAACCACTGAGCTAAATCCCTGGCCCTCAGGAACAGTTTTGTTTGGGAGCAATTTGGTTCACAAACAAAAGTGGTTGGAAAAATTTTGTTTTTGTTTGCATATTGTATCATGTGATGAACACGACCACAGCCATCTTTTCCAGAATCATGGAACAAATTAAGTTCATGAACCAAGGTAGCACTGTAGCCCTTTCATCCTCCACACATTCTTCTGATCCAGCTCTTCCTAGGTAGGTTTGGGCTTTCATAACCAGTATATGCATATATTCTCGAGGATGTGCTTATTCATTTGTTCTTCCTGTTAGACTGTTTACTCTGGGCAACAGAGCACCATGGTTAGGAGCAAAGACACCAGACTTGCCCTTTCCTAGCCATGTCTTCAGAGCTCTGTGAGACTTGGTGTCTTTTTTTTTTTTTTGGTACCGGGGATCAAACTTGGGTCCTTGCGCTTGCACAGCAGGTGGCGAAATCACTGAGCTAAATCCCCGGCTCCGAGACTTAGTGTCTTTATCCTTGGGATGATAATAGCATCTTCACTTCAAGAAGCTGTTGAGTGTATTAAAAAAAACTATGTGTGTGTGTGTGTGTGTGTGAAGGATTTAGAATAGTAACTGGCATATAGAATGCTTTCAGTAAGCATTTGTGATTGCTTTTACTAAGGAAAAGAATCATAATTCCTTCTTGACCATTCTCAAATGATTGCAGTGCGATGACGATGAAAAGAACACTTTACCCATACATAGGTAAACTCCACACATTCAGTATATATCTGGACAGTCAACATATACTTAACTCCCCAAAGGAGACCATGGTAACCCTCTGCCTTGTAGAATCCCCTGCTAGGCTTTTTCCCGCACAGGAGAATGCTCTCTTACTCTTTTGTAAGGACTCCACAGGCTTTCAGTGACCTTTCTGATGACCAGGCTTCAATGGGTGTCCCACCCCAGCTGGAGGAGATCAGCCCAATGGGATACTGCAGAGTGTCATACAGGTAACGCCCAAAGAGCCAGCACACTGCTGACATGTACGTGAAGTATCCATTGCCTAAATTTTCTGTCGAAGAAATAAAGGAAAAGAGTCGGAGGAAAAGTAGATGGATATGAACTGAAGCTACTAAGTGGGTCTATGTGAAAGAACTGGGTATGGGCCACCCCTTCTGTACCATTCTGAGAGTTTTCAAAAGTAGGCTGAGAGGCAATGAGAAGATAACACCAAGGCAAAGCACTGCTTTCAAACCTTTGCTGAGGAGAATCTCTTCCAAAGGAGAAACCTATGGCCTTAGCAATAGTTTCCTTTTAGGGGCTGGGGATTTAACTCAGTGGTTCCGGTGCCTGCCTCGCAAGCACAAGGCCCCAAGTTTGATCCCCAGTACCAAAAAAGAAAAAAAAAAGCATTTTAGTTTCCTTTTATCTGTCTTCAATTTTTCTGTTGTTCAAAATGTTTGTTCTCATAAGAAGGAAATAGGGGCTCTCAGCCAGACACAGAGACCAATGATACCTATTGCGTTCTCAATCTGAGTATAAATAATTTACTTACATAATCTGGAGCCAAAAGTCTCTAGCCAGGCAAGCAGGCTCCCTGCACAATCCTCACAATCAGGAATATTAATACATCTTTCTCAGTAGGTAACTGACACAAAGACCATCATGTCCCTGCACTACCCTTCTTGCCACCTTTCCTCTTACCTGGCCACTCATTCCCACTTAGCTCACTCAACAGAAAAAAGAAAAAAAAAAAAACCAAGCGGACATAAGGTAGAGAACAAATGCTTATTTTTTTCTGGGTGGTTTTATACCCAATTTTATCGTTATCATAACAAGCATATACCTAAGTGATGAGAAGTCTGGCAAAAAGAGAAAGCAACAGAAACCAAAACCAATTATTAAATTTTCAGCAGTCTCCTTTGTCAGTATTGCCCAGTAACCACCACAGGCCAAAGTGAGCAATTTCCATGTTAGAAGAAAACTAAAGAGAGGAACATGCATGCACATATGGCTGGTAGGATCAATTCATCCCAATACTTTTGAAAGACCTGTTATGTATGGGTCACTGGTTTGGTACTATGAAAGACTCAAACTCAATGCTGTACAATTCTTACACTCTAAGAGTTGATAGTGCAAGAGTGGAAATTCAAATTAATTTCAAATAAATTAAAATATATTTAGAAACTACTAGGTGCCAGGAAGTGCTAGATGATTGGGATATGATAATGGAAGAGATATAGAAAAACTGAACCTGACCCGATAGGTCTTGTAGTTTATGGAATAAATATTATCTATAAAATGGACGGCAAAATATGGTAAGTACCTCAAGAGATACAAAAAAGTATGAGCAGGTTTTAGCACCAAAGAAAAAATCAAATTCAAGACAAATTATAATAAGCATCATAATAAATACTGAGTTCCTTCCATGTGTTTCCACAGTCCCCTGTGCAGAGCTGTGTTGCTGTACCTCACTATAATAACAAATTTAGTGTTTCCCTTACCACTACACTATTAGCTACCTGAAGGCAGGGACTTCATCTTACTCATGTCTGTATCTTCAATGTCTAGGACGTAATAGAGTCAGTAACTGTGTGTTGCACATCAGATAGGAAATATTCTGAATGTATTTGGCTAGAGCAGAGACTGAAAAAGGAGATTAGTGGAAGGTAAGACTGGAGGGAAGGTTGGATCATCTGGGTGAGTTCAACCTAATCAGAGAACCCTTCCTAGATGCAGAAAGAAAAAGAGGCAGAAGAGCATCTAAACATGAGAGAGACTTGGTCTACTATGCTATTTCCCCCAGATCTGCATTGCCTCTTTCAGGTTATTACTGAAATGTCCCCTTTCTCCGTTGGGACTTCCCTGGCCACTCTAAATTGCAAATGCTACCCCACTGCAATCCAACAACCCCTACTATCTCCTTCCTGATGTATTTTATTTATTCACTTTTGTCTCAGTATATATCACCATCTACTCTACACAATGGCATTCAAATTTACTTGGTTTCTGAGATCAGAGAACAAAAGGGAGTTCCAAGGGCTGGGGATTTAGCTCAGTGGTTCCACTGCCTGCCTCATAAGTGCAAGGTACTAAGTTCAATCGCTGGTACCAAAAAAAAAAAAGAAATAAAAAGGAGTTCCAGCAGCAAGGTAATTTACATTATCCAGATCCAACTGATTCCTGGGTTTTAAATAATATGCATTAAGAGTTCTTAGTGCAAAGGATTCATCCAAAAATTCACTTGAATCCATTTAGTTGTGGATCTCTTAAAGGAAAAATTTAGGTGCTGTGAGACTAGATAGCATCAGGCACTTAGCATGTAATTTACTAATCCCTCATTTTCTATATTCCCTCACACTACACTGTAAGTACCATACAGTTGGGTATTCTTGCCTATGTTATTCACTGCTACAGCCCCAGCACTTACAACAGTGCCCGGCACATAGCGGGCACTCAGATATTTGTTGAATGCCTTAACATTTGAAAATGTAGGAGCAACTAGGGTCACCAAGGTAAAGCACTAGAAAGAACACAGGGGCCCTGGCTGAAGGAGGGGATTGAAGAAGCAAAGGATGGGGAGAGAGATAGCAGAGAAGAACTAAAAAAGGAAGCACCACATAAGCTAGAAGGAACCCACAGTTTCTGAAAGGGGTGGTCCACAATGTTGAATGTCACAGAGGTCCCTAGAGTTTATAATGAGAAGAGTAATAACCCTGAAGTGAACAAATCATTCAAGTGGAAGCATAAGCCAGCTTACAAAGGACTAAAGAGTGAGCCCAAGGCAAGGAAATGAAAAGGATAAAGACAAAAGATGTTTTAGAAAGGTATAACAAAGCAAAGGAAAGAGATGAAGCTTCATGAGAAGAGCAAGTGTTATGTTTGGCTTTGTCTTGTTTCTTTAAAATAAAAGGAGGGCTAACCCCATGAGCATAGACGGTGTGTCTGTTTTAGTCACTGCTGTGTCCTTGGGGCTAGCACCAGAGTCTGACATGAAGGAAGCATGAAATAAAGATTCCATGCTGAATGGACAGTGGGGAAAAGAACAGAGCCTAATGGATAATATAAAGAAGGCCCTAGAGGAGATAAAGGCTGGCATCAGAATTAGCTCTGAAAGGACACTTGTCAGTGTCTTCAGGCACAAAAATGAGGAAAGTGAAGAGAACACAGAGGGTCAAGGCAATGGAGACAGAGTCTGGAAAAGCTCATGCTGAATAGCTTCAGTTTTCATTGAAACTGAAGGAAGAGTTATTTCCTCATCACAAGAGGAAAGATTCACTGGTGGAGTCTTGGGAAAAAACACATGAAATAGTGACCACCAGGAAAGGGATGAAGAATCAAGAAATGAATAAAAAGACAGTTTAGTAATAATAAGTAGACAGATAAGAACCAAATCCAGTTTTACAGAGTCCACTTAGGGCACTAGGCTACCAGATAATATGTGACACATGCTGAGGCACTCACATACCTGCGCTGGGCTTCGACCACTGCAAGTCAACCGCGTCTAGATCCTCCAGCTCCTCCTCTGCCTCAGTGAGAGAGACAGAGAGGATGCGGACAGACTGGTAGGCAGCAGTGTTGGACAGCTCCTTTGTAGCATTAAATATCTAGAAGAGAATTTGAAATGTCATTTAACTTAGTGGGTGGTGAACTGGCCTGCCAGTCTTAGTAAATACTTCTAACTCAATGAGCTCCTTCTGAGCCTTCAATAGACCAAGAGCATATGAGTAACAACCAAAACCTATAATAGCCTGGACTGAATCACTAGATTCACTTTGACCACAGTGAAGCATATTCCCAAAGAGGGCTCAGATTATAATGAAGCCTGTGATCTTAGGCAAATGGAAGGTGTACAGTGGTTTAAGCTGAAGAATGCTATCACTTAGACCACGGTGCTATCTTGAAACAAAAATATTTCTACTTTGAAAAAGTATCTGATTATGCACATCTAGGGCAATTAACTTTTTTTAAAATTGTTGCTTAGAAATGAAACAATATGGAGTCATAAAGTCCATGGGGAGATAGATTTATGTAATCCATACCACATGAGAAGTATATTCAAAAGAAACAGCCCTGAGAAGTGATGGTTGAAACATACATATTGGAATCACTCTCACAATGTTTATATTCTCATCTGGGACCTGGTAGTCACCAAAGAAAACATGGAAGGCATGAAAGGTAGTATTCAGGGTAACAGCTCAGAACACTCCCAAAGAATTAAACAAAGAGGAGGATCTGCCCAAAGATGTATCATTTTAGGAACCCTCCTCGGTTGCCAAGACTGGCAGGAGTGGGTTAGGATTTTTCTGAACAAGAATGTGTGCACTGTCTTGAGTAGCCTATTCATTAGTCTAATTAAACCTCACTCTTCTATGAGTTTAGGCACAAGTGCTATTTCTTTTAATCCTAATCTTTTAATTATGTTTTTCTTTTGTGTTGAAAAGAAGAGACTGGCAATGTCTTAGTTTGCTGTGTGTGTGTGTGTGTGTGTGTGTGTGTGTGTGTGTGTGTGTGTGTTTCCTCTTGAGTCCTCCCTATTTCCCTGAGCTAGTCCAGCTTCTCCCAAAACAAAGGGCTAAGGGAAGCATCAGAAAGCCCAGTTACTGTCCGCCTCAGGGAATAGGTACTCCAGCTGAGTCTGGGCAGCCACAGCAAGAGGCACAGGAGGCTGGAATACTTTCCATTGGCCGCTAGCCACCAAGTGTGCAGCTGGCTCACTTTCCCTGCCACCCACCACAGAGAATACAGCTGGCCCTCCAGCCCACATGGAGGAGCATGATGGAGCATCCAGGGTGCCCCCACAGAGCATTTCATTGAAATATGCTACCCCATGAATAGCCTTCTGACTTGCCACAGAGCCAGCTGTGGTCAATGAGATGGACAGATGCAAATGAAATGGCTCTTTTGGTCACAATGGGAGCTACAGCCTGAAATGCCTGCCTCCTGGGTAGCAGCAGCACTGGGCTGTAAAGGTTACTGGTCTTCCAGCTTTCAGAACACAGATTACACATGGTATCAGGAAAACTCCATAGTAAATTTAGACCTTTTCCTTCAGGGTCTTGCCTGGCACATTTAATGTAAAATAAACATTGGAGAGTAAGAACAGGCTAATGCACTCACAGTATATTCTGGCAGGGAAATTATTTTTCAGCAGCAAGTACCTGTAAAAAGTCTCCTCCCTTGAAATTCAGTTCTGCACTAAGCACGAAGGATCGTGTGTTGCTTCCATGGAAACAGTGGATGAAACTGCTTCATTCCCACCCACACAAGCTTCCGCACTGGCTGGGAACTCAAGCACCTCATGGCAATGTGATGCCAGCTTGGGGAGGCAGCCGGGGAGAACATGCCACTTGTCTTTTAGACCGGTTGCTAACTCTGCAGAGTACTGCCAGGGCAACAGAGTCAGGGCAGTTGGCATTCTCCTGTACTGTTACCAACACATGAAACGAGATCCAAAAACTGGCTGGAAAACTTCCATTTTCAAACTCACTTTTGTGTATTATTTCAAGCCAGAACTTGAAAGTCGGATAAATTGTTAACAAAAATGGGGGTGGGGAAAATTCCTGCTGTACCTGGTGACAATTACTTATGAAATTGGTATCCTTTCCCAGTATCACTAGGCCTTTTTGATGGAAACATTTCCTCAGGGATATTGGCAGCAAATTTAGGAATAAAGAGATTTCAGGAAGATTTTCATTTAAATGACACTTGGTGTCCCTGCTGATGAAAGGGGAAGCCTTACTCCATCTGCTGAGATCAGATTTCATCTCATCAAACACCTCAGTGTAATTATTTTTCTACCAAATATTTAAATGAGGATGTAAATGAATACCAAGGTATTTGAAGTCATTAACGCTGCTGAGGCTGAGGGACAGCACTGCTGTCTCTCCAGGGACCAGACCATTCGCCATCAAAGCAGCTGCTCACTGGTGTTCATTTTGTAACCTTTATACAGCATTCTTGAATTAATGAAGACACATCAAGAATCTATTTCCTCAGAGAATCTTAGTATGGGGTCTGCATGGGGGCACAAGGCATGCGTGTAAGTGTTCATGTGAATATGTGTGTACACGCTCATGCACAAATGTGGTGAAAGACACAGAGAAACTTAAGTATTGACTTAAAGAATTTTGAGACTCTGAAAGTTATTTTACCTTCTACTACAGTATAGCAGCAATCTCAAGGTTGAGGTAATAGCTATAAATAAGCTACCCAGCATAACTCCTATGAATCTCTTTATAGCGATGTGGTATCAGGCCTTCTCTTCTGGATTTTAATTTCTCTCCTTGGAAAGTAAGACTGTAGAGTGCCAAAATACTGAAAAATGGGTTTCCTGTCTGACATTGGCCATCTTTTTCTGGACCTACCTAGAAATAGCCAAGTCTTTAGACCTCCCCTGACTTAGGAGGCAACAGATGAACATTTAGATTTTTCTCCATTTATAAACATCTCACTCAGTGTTATAAATAACATTCAATTTTAAAATTCCACTTTACCCTAACAACAAGATGGGCATACAATCTGCCATTTCCTTCTTTGAATGTGAAGAGTGGTAGATTATAGTGAGAATCTTACCTCCACATAGAGGGAGGGAAGGAAAAAGAAAAACACTTGTGGGGGGAAGCAGGGCACACATGCAAGTGTGTATTGGGAGCCTGTAGAGAGAAAGAAGCAAAAGAAATAAGAGGGGGTGTCATGTAGTACATACTTCTGATCAAAAAATAAGACTTTATAGACTGTAAAGAGACTAGAAAACATGGCTGTGGGTACTATTAGCACCTAAAATGCTGTCTTGCAAGCTAAGCGCATGGTTTAAAACAAAAAATTAAAAATTAACACTTAGATGTTTCAGATGGAATCTGCTCTTCTGTTCCCTTACATTTCAGAGCTCATAGTTCCAGCTCAATACAGAACATGCCTAGGAGTAAATTCTAGACAGAAAGAATGTGTTTACTCGTAACAATCACGATCTCATTTAGCTTGACAGAAAATGGGATGGGATCCCTTGGCATAGACTGCTATTGAGAAAATGACTATATAGATACAAACAGATCTGGCCCATGCTTTTCTACACAAACATGGAAGTGTAATTAAAGCATTAAGAAAAGTACTGTTTTCTTAAATGAGTTAACAATTCCACTTCTATACAAAACAATGTTTTCCATCAAGAGATAAAACTTCAATTTTCCATCCACTTAGGCTAAAAGAGACCAATCAAAGTTCAATTTAATAAGCATTTTAATTTAAAAGCTTCCATATATGTAAGAAAGGCAGGAAGTAAGAGCAAATAAAATATTGGTTAGGAAGGTACAAATAGAAGAATTTTGAGGCCGAATTAGAAAACTAATGATGAAATGAAAATAGATGTGTCCATAGTGAGATTTTCAGTAGCATTATTTGGTAATAATTTTTTTTAAAAAGAAGGAACTATAAGGAAAAGAAGCTCTAGAAAGTAAAATAAGAAATCCTAAATTATGTGAAAGTACTTTATTTTACAAATTTTTTTAAAAGAATTGAATTGAGATCATAGTCTATATGTGATGATTCTTAGACTTCAAATTCAAATATTTCTTATAGATGAAGAAAAACAAGAAAATAAAACTCAACTGGAAAATTAATTCAGTTTTGCAAAAAGAACTAGAGAAAACAGTAACCCTTCCAAGTTACTACCCTATTAAAGAAACAAATCAAAGTATATAAATACATTTGTGCCAATCAGTAACTGTCAAGTTAATCTCTAAGCCCTTAATATCATTAAATCAAATTAATTAAAATGTGAAAGAAGGGCTGGGGATTTAGCTCAGTGGTTTCGCGGACTGCTGCGCAAGCGGAAGGACCCGAGTTCCATCCCCAGTACCAAAACATAAATAAATAAATAAAATGTGAAAGAAACTGGAACAGATCTTAACACATGGTAAGTACTTAATAAAAAGAAGCAGCCTCCCTTCTCCTTCATATTCCCTTCTCCTCCTTTTTCTCTTCATTATCATCACTATTATTTTTTATTGCTTAGACTCTGCAAATTACCTGTAAAACAGTCATCTGCATGTTACTCTGCCCACTGCAAAGCCAGACATCTCCAAATAATACATCATGAACTCTCAAGGTAGAGTTCATTGTCTCCAGAGTCTGTTGTGCTATCACTTCAAAAGGTCCACCAGGCTTCATAGGATCCAGTACCACCATCCAGGTGTCAGAGGGTGCTGAAATAACAATGGGCCTCCAAAGAATTAATCAATCACTTAAAATGAAATTAATGCCCAATCATACTCATTTGTGGCTATTCCCAGCCTGTGTGAGGAGCTGAACTATATTCAAAGTTAAAGATTGGCCAAATTTCAGGGAAGAGGATAGAACTGACAAGAGCAGCAGTATTTTTATCCTTAATCTGTACCAATCTTTATTTTTAACTGAACCATTTATAGGAAAAATAAGTTACCCAGTTATAATCCTAAATGAGGACAGATAAAAATACACACAGATTGAAATTCAAGGGAGTTTAGTAAAAAATAGAAAACAGAAATTCTTGTTATACTATCTGTCAATATTAACATAATCTAATCTTTCCATTTACACAGCACCCCAACCTAGCTTGTAATTAGCCAATCAAATGGGAGCACAAGTTGGAGAAAATTGTTTATAATCTGAAATGTCCTCCTAAGAGACTGTATCACCTTTATCAACTGCCAAATCCTCCCATGTTGCTAACAAGGATCAGTGTACACCAGTGGTTCTGGGTTCTCCTATTAAACAATCGTGCACAGAGAAACTGACACATCAAAAAGTAGTGGGAGGAGCAGGGCCGCGGATTTAGCTCAGTGGTTCCATTGCTTGCCTTGCAAGTGCAAGGACCTGAGTTCAATCCCTGGTACCAAAAAAAGAAAAAAAATAAAGTAGTGGGAGGCCAAATTCAAAGACCCAATTCAAAAATAGGTCAAAAATGGGCATTTGAAATGAACAGACATTTCTCACACAAAGAAGTAGACATGGCAAATAAACATATGAAAAAATGTTCAACATCACTGGTCATTCAAGAGATGCAAATGAAAACAACACTGAGATTCCACCTCACCCCAGAAAGAGTGGCTGCTATCAAGAAATCAACCAATAACAAATGCTGGCGGGGGTGTGGAGAGAAAGGAACCCTTCTCCATTACTGGTGGGAGTGCAGACTGGTACAACCACTGTGGAAATCAGTATGGAGATACCTCAAAGAACTAGGGCTGGAGGTCCCATTTGACCCAGCTATTCCCCTGCTGGTTATCTTCCCAAAAGAATTAAAAGAATCATACCACAGCGATATATGTGCACCCATGTTTATAGTGGCACAGTTTGTATTAGCTAAAGCTTGGAAACGGCCCAAGTGCCCATCAACTGGAAACTGGATAAAGAAGATGTGGTATTTTTATAAAATGGAGTACTACTCAGCCATAGAGAATGAGAAACTAGAGTCATTTATAGCTAAATGGATGCATATTGAGGCCATACTCTTAAGTGAAATAAATAGGACACACGTGTGAATACCAAACAGTTTCTCTAATGTGAGAAACTGAAAGTATAAATAAGTATTAAAAGGATTAATAATGAATAATTGATACTCTGAAATAGGAAAAGGTCCAAAGGGGTAGGGGAGGTGGGAGGGTATGGGGAAAGAAAAGAAGGGAAAGGAAAAATTATGAGAAAAGAAAAAAAAAATGAAAATGAAGTCTAAGTAAATAGGGAAGGGTGGAGGGGGTAAGGGGCACACAGGTAATGGGGGAAAAAATGAAAACCAAGATACATCATGTACAGGTACAAGCACCCAATGATAAATGGAAATGTAATATATACCAAAAATGTACCAATAAAAAATTTAAGGAAAAAAAAAAGTAATGAGAGGCATAGAAATCAATCTCTTTATGAAAAAGATATTTTTATTTTCCCAATTAATTATCTTCAGAGTTTTCACAATACTTAAGGTTTTTGGACTCAATTGGGGAGAGGAAAAGCTATTCAAAACCTCACTTCAGAAACTTACAGCTTACTCTTTAGGAATCATCCCTACCATCTTCCTGCTTCCCGGCCACTGAACAGATGACTGCTGCCAATATCATATTCAGAGATTTAAAGGAAAATACCTTCAACATGGCAAAAGTATGCCGAAGTGAACTAAGCAACATGAATAAAATTAAAGAAAAGAGAGTGGGAAAATAGAAAAAAGAGAGAAGTTAACATTTTAAAATAAAATGTCTTTAAAAGAATATGAACTGGACCAGGGATTTACCTCAGTGGTTCTGCCGCCTGCCTCGCAAGCGCAAAGACCCGAGTTCAATCCCCAGTACCAAAAAAAAAAAGAATATGAACTGATTTATTGTTTGTGGCTATCAAATCAATAAATTCAAAGGGAAAGAATGGTAGCAACTGGAAACAGAGCATACTGAAGTTATTATACCTTACCTGTGAGAAATAATAATTATAAAAATATCACCCAAGAGCCAAGTAGGAGCTAGACACTGTGTAAAGTTCTTTCTCATCAGCAAGAACTGAAAAGAAGCATGAGATATCTAGGCACATTTTAGGAGACTGGTAAGAGCTTAAACCATAAAGAACTGCTTGGAGTTCTGGAGGAAAGGTCCAAAATCCCCACAGCATCAGTGAAGGGTCCTCTAAAAAGCATAACCAATTGAGCTTCCTACTTCCATATCTAAGAGGTCCATTAAGCCAGGACCAAATGTTAGCTATTGTTTTACCATCACCAATAGCCAGACATCAACATATTAACTGTATAATTCACCTAAAACTAGAAAAATCACTGTTTTGGAAACAGTGGGCAGCTAGTACAGATTGTGTCACACAGGTGTGATATGCTCCGTATGGCTCACACTTCTGAGCAGGCAGACGCTCCAATCTGTCCTAATACAGTCTTGCCAAGGTCTTTCCAGGCTTCCTGCACTGACACATCTCACTATAGCTCTGTCCTTCTCCAACCAGTATCACTCATTTATAGCGATGAGCTCAAACTCCAGAAAACCTCCAGCAGCACTTTTCCTTAGCCTTCTACTGCTAATACAATATACTCCTAGTCACTGCTGTGAATCAGGTATTTACTTTCAGACTCAATCCAGGCCACATGCCATGAAGAAAACTACCTTCACGAGAACTTCTGGAAAGATTTGCTACCCAGTAATATAAAGACAGGAAGGCAAGGGGCAAAACAATGCCACACCTGGGCAGAGGATTTAGCTCAGTGGTGCTGTGCCTGCCTAGCAAGCGCAAGGTCCTAAATTTAATCCCTGGTTCTTGGAAAAAAGCCAAGAAAAACAAAGCCACACCATCCTACTCCAACCAGAGAATGAGATGCCAGGAGGGCACAGAGCCTGAAAGGAAGTAGGAATCAAGACTTGAGTCTTTTTCCCTAGAATTTTCCCCTCAGAGAAACCTTTCAACTTCCTCAAAGACCTTGGAGAATCTCCTTCTGTGGTAGTTAATCTTTGAATTCTTCTGATTGCTAGCTCTTTTCCTCGTTCATGTGATAAAAGAAAAAAGAACCCCTGATCCAATGGTGACTGTTAGGAGTTAACTTCCTTTCAAGGAGGAAGAAACTGGTGCTTTACAGAGGTTACTAATGGTCACATAAATCAGAGACAACTTGTGTAGAATGACAGATTTGCTCCTATGTAAGTACCATATGTGAGAGAAAGCAGCACCTATGAAGATGGTTCTTAGACCAAAAGCAGGGTGAGATTACAGTATAAAGGCAAAAGCCACCATATTCCATGAGAAGAAATGACTTTTTCTTGGCTTCTCAGTTCAGGACTGACTTGTCAAAGGAGAGCTTGCCACAGGTAGGTAAGTCCAATTCATACCTTTTAGAAACTATGTTAATCATCGTGTCCACTAGGTTGAGTCCAAATGATAAACTTGAGCCACTAACCACAGAAGAGTTCACCATCATATAGATTCAAGTTCACCATCCAACTGGCTTTCTGCTGACTGAGAAGTTTTCTGAGCAACAGTTGTGCTTGTACCTCCTTCTTGACCCTAATCACTTGCTATCCTGTAATCTCTTACCAATCCAGGACTAGGTTTCTGTAAATTCTCATTTTCATTGAATTCAAATCTCCATTGCCTTGCACTCTTTTGTCTACCATCTAGGAAGATTAATTTCCTGCCTTCGTTATACAGTGACTTAGAGTGCTTACTGTGTGCTAGGCACTCCATCAAGTAAATGACAGAAAATAAACCCCAGCCCTGGGTTACACTGATGAGAAAGCCATGCAAATTGACTAGGGCTTTATGTTTTCATGTGTAGCAGCATATCTGGTGACCTATTTCTCATTGTTGTTCATATTCCAGCCAAAGGCATAAATAAAAAATTGTTCTTTCTCCATTTTCTCTCCTTCTCCCAGTTAACTGCAACCTCAAAAATGGGAAAAGCAAATAATCAAAAGTAATAAATGAAAATAATGTGTCTACAGACATGATTAGTCATAATGTGATTTCTTCCTTTTTTCTTTTTGCTGTTCACATCAGATGTTAATTATTTTGCAGTTTATTGCGCCAAAATCTCAGATGCCAACAAAAGAAAACTTATCCATGACCTTTCTCTTCACAAAAGGAAAAACATACAGCTGAAAGAGGCAGCCCTATTCACTGCTCTGCACAGAACTCTGGCTCTTTACCAGCTGCAAAGTGATTCTGTGGTTTTTAGAAGTAGTCTGAAGGTGAAGGCATTATTGCTATATATATTCTATATTCTTTTTTTTTTTTTTGTACCAGGGATCGAACTCGGGTCCTTGCGCTTGCGAGGCAGGCCGCAGAACCACTAAGCTAAATCCCCGGCCCTCTATTCTATATTCTAAAGTTCAAAACTGTTATAGTTTATATCTACATGTCCCCCCAAAGGCTCATGCACACAGAGATGGGGCTTTTGGGAAATGATTAGGTCATGAGGGCATGATACTCATCAGTGGATTGACCCACAGACAAGTTCATAGCTAAATACTATGCTGGGAGGTGAAGCCCAGGAGGAGGAGGTGGGGCATGGCCTAGAAGGGTGTACTCCCTTTTTTCCTCCCTTGCTTTCCACTTTCCTGGTGCCATACCATGAATGTGCTTCTCCTCCACCATACCTCTCTGCCATCTTACCCTGCCTTGGAGTCAGTTGACTATGGACTGAAACCCTACAAACTGTGAGCCAAAACCATTCCTACTTTAATCTGTGGGTGTTGGGTATTGTGTCCCAACAACATAAGAAGTAACTAAGACACTACCACTACCAAATGTGAACAACAAAAAAAAAAAAGCTTAAATACCTGTCAGGAAAACTAGCCACACAAGTTACTTAAACTATTTCATGCTGTGGCAGACATACCCCAGGTAAGCTGCAAAGTCACAGCTTTGTATTCTTCCTTTCCTGCAAAGGCAAACAGACTGTGATTGGCTTCCACTCAACAGAAAATGGCAAAGGGGAAGATGAGATGTCACGCTGTTGATTACATTGTGTTCTATGGAAACGGTGAAGAGATTTTTGCAGATGTGATTCAAGTCCTTCATCACTTTACTTTTAGTGAATAAAAATGTAGATTAGCTTATTAGGCCTGACCTAATAAGTGTCTTTAACAGACGGTCTAGAAGTTAAAGACATGAAGTAGCAGAGATGCTGCCATGAAGTGCACCCCTCAAAGGAATGAATTCTGCCAGCAACCTAAGGGAGCCTGAGTGCAGATCACTCCCTCCTCACACCTCCAGCTAAGAACATGGCCTGGCCAACACTTGGCTTCAGCCTGGTGAGACCTGAGCTGAGGACGCATCAATACCATGGCCAGATTTCAGACCTACAGAAACTGTGAGATAATAAAGGTATGTTGTTGTAAGTGTCTAAGTTTGTGGTAACTTGTTATGCAGAGCACATGCTTCCACTGCAACCAGGGACAGAGGGTTTTAGGCCTTTTACATTTTTCTAGGTTAGAAAAATGAATCTATTCACTCATTATGACAAACACAGGCAGATACACTCTCATTCTAGCACCTGCACATTCACCTTGTTCTCCCTAGTTTTCCTCCTTGTGTCTGAGAGAAGCACCATGCCTCACTTGATAACATGGTTTGAACTGACCCAGTACCTGACCATGTTTGCAATTATCCTTCAGGTTTTAATCTTCCCAATGCCTAAGTGTTACTCTGCTGGACAAAAACTTTTATGTTGTTAAATCTTACTTTTTCCCACTTCCTAGGAGATTATAAGTAATAAATTAAATTTTACCAGAGGTAAAGTGGCAAATTGAGGTAGTCTGCTAAAAAGTCCTAGAGTCCTCATCATAATCTAAAATAGAAGCCAACCATCCAATAATATCCTCTGTAATGTCTCTCATTTGAGAGACATTTTTTTGTCTGCTTATGAATTTTCTTACATGTCTACCTTCTTCATGCCAAAGAACACTTTCTCCATTTTCCTTCATGGACAGGAGAGAACAAAATTCTCACTGGAGTACATCTGCTGATCTCCACAAACTAAAAAACCTTTTTTCTACAGTAAATAAATGTGGAAAGTCAGAGAGATAGATCTACCAACACCACCACCGATGGCATCAACCTCTTTTCCTGTGAAATTATCAACAGTCTATGAATCACTTCATCCTCTCAAGTTTTGCTAGTTTTAACTCCAACTGACATGTCACTTTTCGGTAGAGCAACTACAGCATTACTAGACCCTAAACCACTAGGTGGAAAAGACAGCATGAAAGAATGAGCTTGGCCAGGGCAAGCACCATTTGTATTCGTCTCTGTACTTTCCTAAGGTTTCTACCTTAGTGTTTCGTACGCAGTAAGTCCTTGGTGGGTGTTTATAAAATTAAGATAAATGAGCAGGTTCACATTCACTGTAAAGGAAGCTCATCTCTTAACAATTACCTGTCATTCTTTCCCAACACAACCTATCCTCCTGCTTTGTCCCTGCTCACCTCAAGTACTGGTCATGAAACAAGCATGTAGGGGGACTACTAAAAGTAATACACAAGAACAACTTAAAAATTGAAATGTTACATAATATCATGTACTTTCTCTATGTATCAGTACAACACTATGTAGTCTCTGCCTCCTTAATATTTACAGGTAACATTATTAGCACTTTGAACCACAGCAGTTCTTTAGATTTCTAAACCAAAGTCCTTTACTCACAGAGCCACTATTTGTACACAGTGCTGCTCATTACTAAAAGGAACACAGCACAAAAAGAAAGCACTGCTAGTCCGAGAATTCTTCATTTTCAGTACATCCTGCATGTCACCAATACCATTTAAACCAACAGACAACTACATCTTAACTGTAGTTTCCCTTTCAGGTCTCAGTTTCAACCAACAACATTCTAACCTTAAAAAGTCTAAAAAAACCCAAGAACTAGAAATGCTTACCTTGCAACTCTGCCTAGCACATAGTATTTCAAATGCTTGCTGAGTGGAATTTGCTGAATTATAAAGACACAGCACCAGGATCTGGATGCCTCTGGATAATCAGTTCTGTATGCTGACAAAACTAAAGAGGAAATTCTTCTTCCAGAGGCCAGTAAAATTTCCACCAGCTTCCTTGTCTATATATACAAATATTCTAGTCACTGCCCAATCCACCAACTCCATAATTAACCCCACCACTCCCAGGAGTCTCCCCACCTGTCTCACTCTCACTTGTACATCCCACAGCTTTAGAGATACCTCTAAGATCAGCTACAACCCCACCTTCCTGAATCTAGGGACTTCTTGCTTTCCCTCCTGCACACATTCTGTTATACATCTTTATTTCTTCTAGACAGAGATGCCTGTGTTAGATCTCCCTGCTGGAGAAGGCTGCTAATTCTCACCTTCTTGAACATTCATCTCCACAGCCACACGCTTCGGTTAACCTCTCATCGGGGACCACCTGGATTCATAATAGTCTGCTAACAGGTCCCACAACCCCATCTTACTGATCTCTAATCCATCTTCCACAGTGCTGCCAATGTGATCTTTCTAAAATAACAACCTGACACTTATAATCCTAGCACTCTGGGAGGAAGAGGCAGGAAGATTGCAAGTTGGAGCCCAGCCTGGGCAATTTAGAACTTAGTGAGACTCTGTCTCAAAAAATAAAAAGGGCTTGAGATGTAGCTCAGAGCAAAGGTACCAGATTCAACCCCTGATAACACAAAAAAATAAAATAGCAATCTGATCTTGTTATTTACAGTATTGGGGATTAAAGCCAGGGCCTGAGCTACATCCCCAGCCCTTTTTTTATCTTTTACTTTGAGATAAGGTCTCCTTAAGTTGATAAACTGCCCAGTCTAGGCTCCAACTTTTGATCCCCCACCTCATCTTCCCAGAGTACTGGGATTACAGCCCTGTACCACCACACCCAGCTTATCCTTACTCATCGTGGCACTTATCACTTAATCATAACTCCTCATTTTCCTGTCTTTTCCCCTAACCTACAACCTTCATTAAAGGAGCGGCCACATCTGTTTTGCTTATCACTGAGTCACCAGTACCTAACACAGTATCTAGCACATAGTAGGCACTCAATAAATATTTGAGTGACTGGTTAAATAAAAATAGTAGTAGCAATACTGACTGTTAAAACTTATTCAGCACTTACTGTATGCTACGCACTGTTCTAAATATCTTACAGTGTTAATTCATTTAATATTCATAATTCCATATGACTATCTTCATATGCTTAATAACACGTCCAAGGTTATGCAGCCATTAAATGACAGTCAGGAGGGCTGGGGATTTAGTTCAGTGGTTTTGCCTCCTGCTACCCAAGCGTAAAGACCCAAGTTCGATCCCCAGTACCAAAAAGAAAATAAAATAAAATAAATAAATGACAGTCAGGAGCTGACTCCAGACAGTGAATTCTAGAGCTAAGGTTCTTAGCTACACCTCCATGCTTCCTCTCTTTTATGTACGATTCAGCTCAAATATCACCTTCTGCAGGAACCTTCCCATGCCACCCAATCTGAGTTAGATGTTTTTCTTTTGCATCCCATGACATGCCAAACACACCTTCATCATAGCATTTATCACACTACTATGTGACTTGATTTCAATTCATACTGTTCCATGAGTTTCTTGACCACAGGGGCTTTGACTGAGCCTTATTTTTCTATCTTTGGTGCCTATCACACAGTAAATAAACTTTTGCAGATGGATGGGTGAGTAGATGGATGGATGGTGAGAGAGATGGATGGCCCAAGCTGGAACATAAGCATTCATTTTCAATTAATCCAGCAGGTGGCAGAAGAAGACAGTAGCTGAACAGAGATTGGGCTGCCTTACCTTTCACACTGGTCACTTTCTTCATGATGGTTTCCTGACCTTGGCACAAGGACACTGTCACTGTGGCTCCAGGTATACCAAAGCCCCAGATCACTGCTCCAGCAGGTTCCTTCTGCAGCACCATATAATTATCAATGTATGAAGCAAAGCGAAAACCAATACCTAAAAAATTTAACAAACACTTAGGGAAGCAGCATTAGGGAGATTTGTCATCAACTGATCTGGTGAAACAGCAAAGTACAGTCTTTATACAAAAGAATCTGAGTTTACTCAATCCTTCTAGCCTCAAACTAGACCTTATTTCTCCTAGTTAGATAAGCAACATAACAAGAACAGATTCCAACAATATGCCTCATAGGAAAAGATGACCACTAAGGAAAATTCCAACAGCCAGGGGCAACCAATGTACCACCATTGCCTTCTTCCCTCCCCTTCAGAGCTCTTGATCTTCCCTGTTCTCAAACTTGGCCCCGGTACTTGACTTTCTCCCCGACAAATCACCAAAATGCACCTTTCATGTACCCCACAGATGGTGTTTATGTGAAAAATAAACCACTTCCCTCCCAGATTTTCCATTACCACGCCCACTCCTAGTAGCTGGAAATAAAGAGATATGCCTCCTCCAACAAAGCTACTCTAATATTTTCCCCCTCTTATTTCCTTCCCTTCCATCCTACCAATGCTAATTTCCTTCAAAGAATTCCCCTTATTTTAGTTTTTTGATGATCCAATGTACTGCATTCATAAATATCCTTGACAAGTCTTCTTCCTTCACAGGTAAATTCAGATAAAGCAAGACTCAAAAATAAGGTCAATGAAAGACAGGTCAAAAGTCTAGACAAAGATCTTATATCACAATTATATCTGTTTCCCAAGCTAAATTATACAAAAAAAAAAAAAAGGAAGCACACTTGAAACTGCATTTTTTTTATTTTTTTGAAACTGTGCATTCTATTCTAGAGAATCACTAACAAGACTGAATAAGAACTCACTTTAACGAGCTCATTCCTATTTTTAACTTCCAGCCTATACTGAAGTATTTTTTAATAACAAGCATTGATCCAAGTGATGTCAGTGAGCTCCTTATCAACACTTAACAAGAAAAAAATAATAAAACTTATGTCCAGATTTGTCTGAACAAAACAGACCCCAAAAAATCCCTGAAAGAAAATAATTTACAAGGCTAAGTTGGGTTTTTTTTAAGAGTTTTAAGCAAAAATGATGGGCAGGAAAGAGAATTAGAATTAACAAGGCTGACATTTTCCTCCCCGGAAGCTGCAAATGAGGGCCCCTTAGGCCATATTTAACAGGGCAGTATAGCTAATGGGGTCTCCTCCAAAAGGTTGGTGGCCTATTTAGACTGCTCTGTGAATAACAGCCCAGACCCTAAAACTCCTCAGCTCTTTCTCTCCCTTGAACTGGTTCATCATGAAATCTACATGATAATTAAAGATCACCCAGAAGGCCCACCAAGCTGGAGATACACAACTACCATGAGCAAAATACTCTACCAGGAGACCACAACAGCCAGAATTGCATAAGAAGGTTGGCAGCCTGTTGGGGGAAACAGGAGGCACATGTGTGGGATGGGCCCTGTCTTGGGTAGGTGCTTCATATCGAACAAAATAAGTTATAAATAAGAACTCAGTAGGGAGAAGCTGAAAGTGGAGGGATGGGGAGAAGAAAACTGGCTGCTGCTTGTCTATTTGGTACCAGAGATCAAACTTGGGACCTTGTGCTTGCGAGCCAGGTGATGGAACCACTGAGCTAAATCCCTGGCCCTGCCGCTTGCCTATTTGTGTGTTCAGGTTGAAGCCCACAAGCTGGGGAATACCTTTTCAAGCCAGTCTGTGTTCACCAACACATGCTTACTGAGCCTCTATGCATGGCTTTATGCTGGCCTAAAGAATTTTAGAGGTAGATCTTTATAATCATGGTATAATCACATTGATTACTGATCAAGAAGTATGATCATATTCCTGATCAACAGACTAAGACCTAGGCTTTCATGTTCATTAATTACAGCAAATATTTATTGATGTGTGCTACACAGTAGGCACTATTTTAGGCATTGGAGAAATAACAGTGATAGAGAAAAAAACAGAAAAATAACAACAATAGATAAAAAAAATTTACCAGCAGGGTGCTTACATTCTTCTAGAGAGTTTTACTCTGGCAGGTACAATGCTAAAGACACTGCAGACACTAGACTTCGACTGGCCTCAAATCACAAGGTAGTTTATGGGCCGGGGATTTAGCTCAGTGGTGCCACCACCTGCCTCTTAAGCACAAGGTTCCCAGTTCGATCCCGGTACCAAAAATTACACACAAAAAAAGATAGTTTATGACAGGGCTAAAACCAGTCACCTGATTCTAAAATTATTCTAATTTCCACTATGCCGTGGTTAGATAATGATGCTAAATCCATGAAAAATCATATTCCCTGTTAACAAAGCACAAATTCCAACCTGATTAGACAGTGGAACATTACCATGGAATTGAGCAATGGACAAAAGAAGATGAGACTGCAAGACTGCTGGGTAACACCCAAGACACAATTAATATTTGAACTTTTTTTTTAGGTCTTCAATTTCTCCCTTCATTTTGGGGTTGGAGGAGAAATACAATGAGTGCAGTAGGACAGAAACTGTCATTACAAGTGAACCAACAAAACTGGGACAGTGGTCACCTCCAGTGGGGCCTGGCAGATACACTGAGGAGTCCACTGCTGTCCCAACAAAACTCAATGTCACAGTTCTCAAACTGGGTGGTAAGCTGATAGGTCATTTCCTTGTCTCATTGTTACATGTAGTTTTGCACACCTCAAATATTACACGATAAACATGGGCAAAGGGGGAGTGTGGCTTAAAGATGCCAGGATACGCAACTAAGTAAGAAGGAAGGGAAATTTAGAGTATAGAAGAATGAATGAAAAATATAGTCAGAATTAATGAAGGTGATTGAGTGAAATGATCCAAAGAAGGAGACAAAATACTGATATTAAAGTTAATAACCGTTAACAGAAAATCTAATACAACAATGGCCCTATTCTCTTCTTTACCCTCCCCTCACCTCCTATAATGGACCCCAAAAGTCCATGAGTGGGAATGAAAGGAAATGACAAGCACAGTGCTCCTAGTTTGCATTTTTGTCGAATTCTTAAGACACATTTACGTGCTGCTGTTTGTTTGAATCTGGTATTTTGCAGGTGCTTCAGTAGAACAGCAATCATGCTATTCACCCTCCTCAACTTTCATTTCTTAACAGGGATCTTTGAGTTCCTCTCTGAGTGGTTTGAAGAAAAGGGTGTGGGGAGTTCAAACTTATCACTTTACTCTGCATTTACTTCTGGCCTCTCCACTCTCGCAGTGTCCAGCTCAGGGTATTCAGGTGACAGCCTCTGACCTGCACAATAACCACTGTGAGTCAGCCTCTCCCTCCCCAACGCTGCTGCGCATTATTCCCCACCACCAATATCTCCAGGCAGCACCCGAAATCAAAGCTGAGCCTTAAATTATTCTGAGCTAGTGAGGGGGTTGTATTTCTTAGCCCTAATAACCATTTAAAACTAGTAAAATGTAATTCCCGAAAGGAACTTAGCCTGCTGCAAACCCTCCCCGAGGGCACCACTGAGGGGGCAGCTGCGGAAATGTTTTGGATGACTCAGTCACCTGTTTTCAAATATTATCTAACTAGGTTCGCCCCCCTCCCTCCGAGCTCCCCTGAGGCCCTCGGTCGGGCACGTCTGCACCTTCCCACTCAGATCAGCGGAACTCTCCCTCTGCCCCTCAGGTGCCGGGTTAAGGGCGGGTGGAGGTGGGGAAAGCAGGGGCGCCAGGGCTCTGGCCCTGCAGACACGTGACCCAGGCCGGGCCGGAGAAGATCGCTTCCCGACCTTGACAGAGGAATCGAGTCAGGTTCCCAAATCGGACGCGGGACTTCGGAGGCAGCACTGGCTGAGGGGCCGGGGTATGGCAGGGACAATCTGCCTCACCTGCAATTCTGTCCGCCCACAGGATTAAAGGCAGCACCAGCCCAAACACAGTTGCAGGGGCAACCATGCTTCCGGCATCCGTAGCTTGCTACTCCCGATAAGTGCCAGGAGGGGCGGGGCTTTTGCTGGCCTTTGGGCGGGGCCTTTGCGGAAGGCCGGGGCCAGGGACGCCGACCCCGCCCTCTCCCGGAGCTGTCCTAGAAACTTACCGCAGCCACAAAGCGAGGTGCCTTTCTCTCCTTCTCGGCCGCCGTAGTTTTTAAAGAAACGGTTACCCAGCAACGAGAAAAAACAATTCTAACCCTCTGAAAACAGCTGGGGGAGAAAGAAGAGGTAAGGTGGTTTCCCGCACTTCCTCTCCAACTCTGAGACCTCGCCTTTTCTCTTATTCTCTCAGCGTCCCAACACACCCCAAACACCAAGGCAGCCTATTAGTCAAGAGTCTGAAATCCTTGACCTGTCTTCCCCTCCCTCTGTCCATCCTCACACCCCAGCTCAGTTCAGAGCCTCGCCAATTTATTTCACACCCCTAAAATGATTCAGTACCTAAGAAGAAAGAAAGAGAGAGAGGGAGTAAGGGAGAGAACCTCCACAGATTTAGCCTCTTTAAACACTCTTGTCTTCCAACACGCTCGCCAGCCATGGCTTCACCTGTGTTGGGCATCAACACACACTTCATACAAACCCAACGGGCCACTCAGTATTCTTTTCATACTCAGTAGCCCAACCTACTGCTTGAAATCCACCCTTAATCTAGCTCTTGTATCCCAAGACAGTAGAAGCCCTGGTCAAGACCATACCAGAAAATAGAAGAATTCTACAAGTTTGGAGGCTGGGATTTCAAAATCATGACCTTCTCCTTCCCCTCCTCAACCCCATTCCAGAGTACAAAAGTGCTTCAAAACACATAGGTCATGCTTCAGAGGTAGCAACTGAAAAGATTGTGAAACTTATTCAACAAGTTAGAAGAATTTGTAGAACCAGGACTAGTTCCTACTTTTAAATTTCTTTAAACCTTAAACAGGTCTTCTGAGCAACTGATAATGAATTTAATTAAACTAGCTTTTTAACCATTATTCCCACTAGATAATTATGGATAGCAAAAAATACCCTGAGCAGTGATGCCGCTGCCTGCCTCGAAAGCACAACGTCCTGAGTTCAAGTCCCAGTACAAAAAAAAAAAACAAAAACCCCTCAGCTTTTCAGGAAAGGAAAACAGAAAAAAATAGTGTCATAGTGAACACTCTGGTTCTGTAATTTTTAGAAAATTATTTAGCCAGTTGAATGAGTCTGTATTTGTGATATTCTAATGCATAATGAGGAATTCAAAATGCTGTAGAAGAAACGAATAGATTTGGGTTCTGTTGGGGAAAAAAAGGAATTGAAGTCCAGAAAATTTGGGCCTCAGAAATAAGTTGTCATAATTGTGATTATGTGATTAAAATCAGATAAACTTAGACAGTACTCTTTAATGAATCTCTAGGTACCACAGACAGTTCTTCCCAAGGAGATGTCGATTCCATTCTCCAACACATACCTCCAAATTCCACAAGGATTTGGGAATCTTCTTGAAGGGCTCACACGTGAGATTCTGAGGGAGCAACCGGACAATATACCAGCTTTTGCAGCAGCGTATTTTAAGAAACTTCTTGAGAAAAGAGAGAGTAAGTTTTTAAATAAGAAACTAAGTATTTGGTTATGGCAAAACCTAAGACCATGTCCATTCTACAGAAAGCTTGTATGAACCAGGTGGCTTCAAATAACAGTTCATGCTATTTGAAATAATATGTCCCTCTAACAGCTTCTCTTAAATTAGTTTCACAGTACTCAATATTACTATTCTTCTGACCTCCTTCATTGTATTTATGATACAATGTGGATTGGAACTGAAAAAAATCATACAGTATACCCTCCACTTTTCAGCACATTGTTTTGTTGTTGTTGTGTTTGTTTGTTTGTTTTTGTACTGGGGATTGAACTCAGGACCCTGTGCTTGCAAGGCAGGTGTGGTGCCACTGAGCTAAATCCCCAGCCCTCAGCAGATTGTTCTTATGCATCTCCATCAGTTGACTGTCTATTCTTTCTGAGAAGATAATTTGCAGTTTTCTTTAAATTTTTATTCTTCTCATTTGAAAGTATTATAAGTGTTATAAAAATAATTCAACACTCCTTAGACTAAATAAATTGGTATTCACTGGGGTATATGATACTGTTCTTCAATAAAGGCACAGCGACAAACTGCTTTGAAAAGTGAACTGCCAGCTTGGGAAGGTAATTTATATTCTTTATACTTTCAAAGTCCCATCTTGCACAGAGACTAAAATCCATGCTAACAGTAACTCTTTGGTTGGGAGCCAAAGCAAAGTTCCTTCACTTCCATAACTAAAAATTTTCAAATCCAAGGTCTTGAAAGTTTATGACTATCAGTACTGACCCAGTGGTCAAAATGGAATTATTAGTTTCCAGTTTGTTCTAAAAACCTATTCTTGACTGGCACAACCATTTTTGTATAAGCTATTGTTATCATTTCTTTTCATTATGGTATTCCAACAGAGTAGTAAATGTAACCAGAAATATCCACAGGCAAACAGACATTCCATTATAAACCATTTCACAGAGGGAGGAAACCTAACACAAAGCCAGAATTAAAGCAACACCCATACACTCTGTCCAGCTCCACCCCTTTGTCCTGCCCTTGCAAAGCTCAAAATCTCTGCCAGTTTCCTGACTATTACTGCTCTTTTTCAAATCCATTCAGGGTGGATATTTGTTGAACAATATGAAAATGTAAGTTCCACTAAAATCATTTGATAAACAGTATTTAGGAGGAAAAGATTATTAAGATAAATTTCTTGGAAAAAGAGGTGAGTTGTCATCAACATTACCTTAATTTTTGTTATTATAACATTAATTTTACAAATCCACACAGTAAAAAGTCTTTAGTCATTTATTTAATTTTAGAACTCAGAAACATTCCATTACAGGAACATTTGAGTCATTGTTACTGGATCACAGTAATAAAAGCAATTGATGGTGATAATAGCCTCAGAATACTAACTCTCTAATAAACAATGGATAAAACCATTTGAAAAAATTTTAAGCACTACACCACTTCCACACATATCAACCTAAGGTGCATTATCCAACAGTCAGAATTTAGTCTCTCCAAAAAGGCAAAATAATCATAGATTTCTAGCCCAGTCTCCCACAATGCAAGAATTGCATTGCTATCCTCCTTCATAGGTGGTGATTATTCTTATTTTTTATATATGTGACAGGAAACAGTATACAATATTATGATACAAATGATATCAAATCACTAAAGGAAAGTGGACTTCTTAAATTATATTGAGATAAAGATAGTAAAAAATAAAATTGGATCAATTTCTGGTATCATATATTAGAATAAATTCCAAATTGGTTGAGGATTTATGTATTTTGGGGGGGGATTTATACATTTTTAAAAAGAAACCATACAACTACTAGAAGAAAATATGGATGAATTTCACTATAACATAAAACAAGAAAAAATTTGCTAGCTAAGTTGCTTAAATTACTTCAAAACTCCAGATGCAATTAGGGAACAGATTGAAAGAATTGACAACATAAAAAAGTAAACTTTTACATGACAAAAAGCATCATAAGGAAAATGAAAACACAAATGACAAGCTGAGAAAAAATATTTGCAATTTCTATCCCTGTGGGTTAATAAAGCTAATAAATTAAGAGCTTGTGAAAATAGTGTGTTACATATACTTATAACAACCCTACAGAAAAAAATGGACAAGAGATATGAACAAATAGTTCAGACAAAAATAAATACAAATGGCCCTTAACATATGAAAATCTACTCAAACTGAGATATAATAACAGAAGTCCAAATCAAAGCTACACTGAGCAACCAACAACCACCCACCACCATATTGGCAAAACGCCAAAAGTTTGCCAACATACTCTGTAGGCAAGGCTGAGGGGAATAAGTACACATATACATTACAGGTGGAGAACCCAAATGGTACGACTTCAAGGAGCACTCAACAGCATCCACCAAAATTATATACATATTTAACCTTTGACACAGCCTTTGTCACAGAAGTCCAATCTCCACACTTTTCCTTGTATCATTATTTGCTGAAACAACCTAAATATCTGTAATAGGGATTTTTGTTTTTGTTTTTGCAATGCTGAGGATAGAACCCAGAGTCTCAGACATCCTCATCAAGCACTGTAACACTGAGCTACAGGCACAAATCCCATAATAGGGAACTGATTTAATAAACTAAGACTACATCCACACAGTGAAATAACATACAGCTGTAAAAAAAAAAATGAAGATCTCTAGATAATGCTAGGCAACGATCTTCAGGAATCAGTGAAAAAAGATGGAAGTAAGTGGGTTTATTATGCTACTATTTATTTAACAAAAGTTGATATGAAAATATAATGGCTTATAGCTTTAAATGTAAGAGTAAATCTTTTAAAATTAATATTTTTCTTTAGAGAAAAGGGAACAGGATAGAGGGAACAGAATAGATTATGTCTTGAATTTGGGTTCATTAATATTTAGCATAGCTATAAAATTAAATTTAAAAATTGTTAACCAGTTCCTAAAATTTAAAAGCAAAAAAAAATTAATTAATATTGAGTAGGTAACATAAAAACACAGAAAGGAATTATTTCAAGTGACTATATAAAATAATTTGACTATACATCCATGATGGATATATCCTAAAAGTAAAATGAGCTTTAAAAAAACTTAAACTGTTTTCAGTAATGTCATTGTTAAAGACCCAGGGATTTAGCTCAGTGGTGCTGCCACCTGGCTCATAAGCACAAGGTTCTGAGTTCAATCCCCAGTTCCAAAATAAATAAATAAATAAAACAGTGGTACCTTGGTTCACAGACACTTTGGTTTGGAAACAATTTGGTTTGCAAACAGAAGCATCTGGCAGAATTTTGTTTTCATTTGCAAACTCTGCATCAGGTGACAAACATGACCATGGTCATCTTTCCCACACAAACACAAACGTTGCCATCTTTTCTAAAATCGTAGAACAAATTAGATTCATGAACCGAGGCACCACTGCAGTACTATACTAGAGTGCTGTAGCTTGGATCTGGAATCTCCCACAAAGCCTTAAGTGTTAGAGGCTTCGTCCCCAGTTTGTGATGCTATTGGAAGGAGGTAGAGCCTTTAGGAGGTGAAGCCTAGTGGGAGATTTTAGTTCACTGGAGGTGTGCCCTTGAAAGGGATTGCAGCACGCCTGTCTCTTCCTCTCTCCTGCACTCAGCCATGAGGTAAACAGGCCTCCCCACCATATACTTCTGCCGTGTTGTACTGTGTACCCACAGGCCCAAACAAGAGGGCCAGTTGGGTGTGGACTAAAACTTCTAAAATTGTAAGCCAAAATAATCCTTTCCTCTTTTTTAAGTTGATTTACCTCATGTATTTTTTATAGAGCTGATGAACACACAGAGTTATCCTAGAAATTATTCTTTTATATATATTGTAGAATAAAGTGAGTAACTATGCTAGTGTTATTAAGAAAAAGATTTTTGGTGCAGGAAAAGTGATATACAATTATGAAAATAAAAGAGGTTAAGAAAATTCTATAATTCTAAATTTGAATTGAAAAATATCCATATGAACTCATGATGTTTTCTCTTAAAAACTAAAAGAAGTAGTTTATAGTTCCATACATTAACAAGGCCTCAAAACAATGACCAACCCCATATCAGTGGACACCTAAACACTACATTGTCATGTCTGAATACCATTTTCCAGGAACTAGGCCTTCTTGCAGTACTAGCTAATGGCCAGATATATACATGATTCTACAATAAGGCTGACCATCTCATTATACCAGAAAACAAGAATATTCTCAAAAATTACTAGAGTTTTTTGCAAAGGACTAAGGAGTAAGCTGCCACTGGCCAAATTTTACACAATCAGAGCATCAATAAGAATAATAAATACAAGGGCCAGGGATTTAGCTCAGTGGTTCCGCTGCCTGCTGTGCAAGCGCAAGATTCGATCCCCAGTACAAAAAAAAAAAAGAAGAAATACAATGCATTGGAATTTATCCAATTTGTTAAATATTCATAAATTCATAATGCTATAAATAAAATTCATCACTCATTGATCACCTTGAGAGGATTCCAGGTAACCAACAACCTAATCTGAAAACTGATAAATAAAAGGAAAAAATAAAACCTTTAAACTTTCTTTGCTGTAAGAATGTTATTTCAGGGTAACCATATAGTTGATGGGCCAACTATTTTCTTTATTCAGTCCTCCAGAAATAAACAAATAATGATTAAGTTAGAATATTAGCATTATGCAACCAACCCCTAAACAAATTATCTAATGATAATTATAAAATTATAAGAAAGAAAACTACATATTATTAATCTCCTGACAGGACCACACACCACTATCAATCAAGTATTCTTGCCGCCACCAAAAAAAAATCAAAATTGAATCATATCAAACCTATAGGTCTCACTACCAATCTGTAGGAAATTCTATGGCAAAGGATCTTCTTAAAAGCCACCATGGAGATAGAAATATCTAAACTGGAAAATTCCAAAGTAAAAATGACCCAGCTTTATCAACAAATAAATTGCAAGGAAAAGTGAGGGGATTGGGGCTTTCCATTAAAAGCAATTTAAAACACGTAACAACAACTGTGCCTATTTTGGTAGGTCTATTTTGAATCAAAATATCAATAAGTAAAACTACATATATCAGACAATGGGGAGATTTGGACAATTAGTGATATTAAAGAATTATTATTAGTGCAAGGGATTTAACTCGGTGATTCCGCTGCCTGCCTCACAATCGCAAGGTCCCGAGTTCGATCTCCGGTACCAAAAAAAAAAACATTAAAAAAGATACATCATGTAAAGGTACAAATTCCCTATGATAAATGTGGTGATCATTATGTAAATCTAAATTGTACCAATAAAATTTAAAATAAAGGAATTATATTTAGGTGTGATAATGATGTGGTTATATTTTAAAAGAGTGTATCTTAGAAATACATACTGAAATAAATATTTGTAGATAAAATAGTAGGATGCTTGGGATTGGCTTGAAAATAATCAGAAGAAAGGCTGGAAAATAACCAGAATAAAAGGGTAAAAATAAAATAAAATAAATCATGCGTTGACAATTGTTATATCTAGGTACTATAAATATAGGGGTTTAATACTATCTCTCTACTGAGTTAGAAATTTTCCATAATGAAAAGTTAGGGAAATTGTTATGGAAAAAAGCACTCATTTTTACTGGTACATATTTATAAGTGTCTCTACTTAAATATTGACATTTGTTCTTTCCTGTTTTGTTATAAATTCTATTAAAGAAGAAATTATGTTTTCTAGTACTTTTGTTAAGTATCTACAAGGATCACCAATGTCTAATTGTCATCATGTATTAATGATCACTGGTTATTGTCTGGAGTACTTAGCTATGTACAATGTCATTAAGAATTTTGGTTCTATCATTATTTATGCTTAGGGTTTCTCATATAAGAGAAACCATGTGATATTTAAGCTTGTGTGTCTGATTCATTTCACATAATGTTATGGTCTCAAGATGTATCCATTTTCCTACAAATGACTCAAATTCTTCTTTATGGCAGAGTAGTAATCCATTGTGTATAAATGCCACATTTTCTTTATCCACTCATCTGTTGATGGACACATAAGTCAATTTTTACCTGTCAATAAAGAACCTGTGATTTGAAACAAGAAACTCATTTTGCATTACTCCTTTATTTTTATTTTAATGAGCTCAAAATAGTCTGAAATTATTATATTTTTATTATTTAGAAACCAACTTTGATCCAGCAGAACGGGGAGCTAAGATAGATGACCGCTTCCATAACAACCAGGCATTCAAGGTATAGTCCTGTGAATTTATTGGATTTGGCTATTTATTCTATCTATAAAATATTATTAGAATCTCCCTCAAATTGTGAGAATTGTATAAGGTATTACAGATAACTTATTAAAACTTTTTAATTATGCTTTTTCTGGTGAGAAATTCTTTTCTAAAGTATCTGAATCCAGTACAGATACTTAGTTTAAAGATGATCAACAGGAAGGTGCTTAAAAGTTATAGAATCATCACTCTTATTTTTCACATGCTTAGCAAGAGCAGATACTCAACAAATACCATGTTGAATGAATCAATGAATATTTTATTTTTAAAAACCCACTATTTGTAGCTGGGTATGGTCAGACATGCCCATAATTGCAGCCTAGGCTGGGCAACTTACTGACTTAGGGAGACTCTGTCTCAAAATAAAAATAAAAAGGATTAGAGATGTAGCTCAGAGTGAAGGCTCTGGGTTCAATGCCCAGTACTGAAATAAATAATAAATAAATAAATACTATTA